GTGTACAGTAGTGATGGACCAATGGGGAGGGTACCTGAATTCAGGAAGCGGAAAAAAAACAAAAACACGGACACGCACAGAGACATACAGTACACATACAGATATTAAAAAGTATGTGTTGCTGGCCACCAGATATTGAAATGTGAAGCTTTATATGCAAGGGAGTACATCCAGACTCTTGACTGGATCGTATAGCACAGACTGTACCTATTGGCACAGATTGAGTAGCATGGCTTGCAGGTTGTCAAGCCATTACGCAGTGGCAGTGAGTCTATAGTAGTGGTGGAAAAATGTTATGCTGCAAAAGAGGGAAATAGAGTTAATTTGGGGATCCTTGGCTCTGCTCACCAAACAACAGTGACTCCCATTGCTGGCCAGATTCCTGCAGAGCTCTGCTGTATCAGTGGTGGCTGTGACAGTCCTCCAGTTGGTACTTAACCTCCACTGTTTCTGTTCACAGTGTGACAAGAGTCAACTCATCTGTTACATTGTGTCTTCTTCAGCTCTCTGGAGCAGCATATGCCTGAACTGGAGAATGACTAAAAGTGCAGACTGGAATTTAGAATTAGAAAGAATACTTAAGAGGAATAGTTTTGACGATAAAAAGGATGCTAAACCACAGGATTGTTGTATTTAGTAACACAAAATAAAGGATCTGAAAAAACAAAAGTCTCTGAATTATCCTGCATTTGTACAGTAGATGCAGTGTAGCATATTTTAAATAAAAATGTGATTAGTAAGAACTGTATTAGGTAATTTCACTAAGAGTGGATAAACAAAAACCCACACGACACCCTTTTCCCATTATAAAGTGCAAGGAAGAAAGCATATTACAGCCATTTCTGCTTTCCCCTAGTTTTAATAGTTTCATGAAAAGTACAGTACAAAGAAGTGCAAGAAGGGACACAAATGGACTACACAACCAAATGTCAGGAAAATATAAATTTGTGGTATTCAGTTTGGACTTATTTACATAAGAACTCCAGGTATTTCTGTAACAGTGCATTAAGCCCTTACACATTTGTAAAATATATTCCACACTGTGACATTAGATGTGACATTAAAACTGTCTACCAGTGGCAGTTTTTTAAAACCTGCACATACAATTTCAAGGATAATATCTTTCCCAAATAACAGGTTACCGGCCATTAGAGAAGGGCCTTTAAGAAACACTGATACACTACTGCATACAAGTAGACTCTGAAGCTTTGCAATTGTGCGCCTGAACACTCAGACTATAAATAACAATATTCTGAAATCCTGAACTAAAGATATCTCAAATGGCATTTCATTTTAGTCAACAAAAGTGTTGATTGTCACAGTATTATCTTTTGACAACTCAAATGCCATTGAGTTATATTGTGGGCTACTGGCAAAATCAAAGCATTTATCAATAGTTTTATTAAGAAGAATGCTTATTAAAATGGGTTTGATTGCAGAGTCAGCACTGAAGTTTCAGTGGCTAAGAACACAAATGGGAAAAGCTGCCTACCCATCAGCATGAGAGAGGACAAAGATCGGACCACAGACTGTTATTATTGATGCGTTCAATCCACCCGAGCCACTCGCCCTCTGAAGTGTATTTAAGCAGGGTCTTCATTTTCATTTTCAGCTTTAATGGCTGTTGTTTTCTTTTAGAGGACTTGTATTAAACAGTTTCAAATGCTTGATATTTTTGTTTTGTTTTTTGACCTGTGAAACTTCAGTGGATTGATATTTAAAACAGAAAAAAAGTAAAAATGAGAGCACAGATGAACATTATAGAAATTATATACTAAAAGAGACACTTTTCCTTTTTATACATTATTTTCTGATAACCCATTTACTACTGCTAATACAACTGCATATATATATATATTATAAACCTACAGTGTTAATTATAGTACATTTCAGGTGTCACTTATTTTACATGACATTATTTTAAATATATCTTCCTTAATATCATATTTAAAGCACATACCTTAAGTTACAAAACATCTGCTTCTTAGACAAGCCTAATTAAGCTTGTCTTAAATATCATGTTTGCTTTAAATTACTTTGAATTATTTCTGAAATCAATGTGGTTTTCCTGTAGTGGATTTTTTACCACACTAGTTCTTATGTAAAGAAGGTCCTAAACTGATGCTGAGTGCATAAATACTGTAGTTAATTAAATAATATTGGAAGTACATAAGATTGTCTATATTCTCCATATAATTCTGCTAATATACAGTACATTTTGGTGTATATATAAAAATTACATTTTCTGTCGAATATGCACAATATATTATTATTATTTAAAAAGTCATGAAAAAGTATCACAACCTTATGCAACAATTAAACAAAATGATTGATGTGTGGATGATATTTTTGTCCATTAATTAACATGAGAGCAAATTTCTATTTAATGAACAAGTAACATAGAATTAGTCATCAAATTGTCTGTTTGTGCTTGTATGTTTGTGTGCTCTGTGATGGGCTGACCTCCCATTCAGAGCATAGTTCCACCTTGTCTGCTATGCATCCAGAATGGATTTGAGTGATCCTTGCCAGAAGAAGTGGTTTTCAGGCAATGGATGGATTAAATAAAATTGAATGTTTTGAGTATAACTAGTTAAAAAAATACCCTGGAAAGGTCAATGTTTTATTTCAGAGATTGACTGACAATCACTTCACAAATACAAATAGCTTTAGAGTTTTAACATTTTTAGATATTTAAATATTAAAATGTAATATTTTAAAATAAAAATAAACATATATTTCTTATTATAAAGTAATAATATAATTAACACTTCAGCATGTTAATTAATGGACATTTGTAAATGAAGAACTGAAAACACATTTTACAGATAAATGCATGAACTATAGTGTTGCATTGTGTCCTGTGTCTTGTTCAATTTTCTTGGCTGACTCCAACTTATGTCTTGTGCATTTTCTTGCATAAAGGATATGAAAAATCCAGAAGCTTAAACAACATAGCTGGCTTGGCTGGTAATGCTCTGAGACTGTCTCCAGTTACTTCACCCTACAGCTCACCTTGTCCACTGAGACGTTCTCGATCTCCCATTCCATCAATCTTGTAAAGCTAGACTGCATCAATAAGCCTGGTAGAGTCCATTCAATTATTGTAACTGCATAATGGAAGTGATTCAATGTAGAATTAAAACTAGATACTGCTAGTCCAGTATAAAATGTGCATGCTGTAAACTGTAAATATTAGGAAATAATTGTTTTGTTAATGGAAGATCCCTATCTTTGGCTTTCAATGTGATTAAAATAGTGTTTCACCATTATTTCCTGATAGCCCTGCATTATGGCAATAAAAGAACATTTAGTGGCTCTCTATATGGCCAGTATATTGAATAACAAATGTATTTATTCAGGGAGATTATGTATATACTTCTATTTAGAAAAAAAAAATGTGCTTCCAAATGATATCACTCCATTGGACCTCATGTCTGTGACTTTTATTCATTATGAAGATGTCTGGAATCCCGTCTTGATTCACATGCGCACCTTCGCAAAACTCGGGCCAGATCATTTTTGCATGGATCATCCTGTTTCATCGTCTGAAAGCGGTGTTGCACAACAATTTATTCTGGATGCAGATGGCACTGGACATGTGTGTGCATTGTACCATTTGCTAAAAAAGTGCATTGGCCAACTGTTTTTGCATGTGGAAAAATAGTTTGTGACTGGTATGCTGTTCTACTGCGAATCCAAATGTGGCAGGGTTATAGAATTGAGGTTTTCCGGTTGTTTACATGCAGATAACTGCAAAGAGATTGTCTTTACTGGTTACACGCAAGCAGAGGCCAGCTCTCTTTCTTAATGGCTTGGGGAAGGCACAGTCATGACAGAAAGGTAACATTGACATCCTGGCTTGCATTTTAAGATGATGTAGACAGCAACAACATTTGTGATTTTCAGTGGTTAATGACTTTTAATTGTGTATATGGGGGTAATTCAACATTTTCCCCCCAGACAATCTTCTGAAAACACATTACTTAACAAAAAACACACCTTTTTAAGACTCACAGTACATGGTAGCAACAAAACTTTAGTTTGTTAATTAAGGTTTTTTTAATCTAACACATGTTCCAAACAAAAACACATGATCAAAACAGTGTCATTTTATTTGCTGAAAAAACAGAAAGATTAAATATATTATTTTTTATTGTTTATTTTCCTAATGACAATCCCACCATTACTCAAGAGTATGCACTTCACAAATATTGTTCTTTCATATACGGATTCTAAATTTATAATTCTGATACAAGATATACTATAACAGGTGAGTTGAAATGACATTAAAAGAGCACATTTGGTGTATTTCCTCTTAATTAGTTTTGAGAAATGATCACTACACTCTACTCAAAAGCATAAAGAACCTTTGATCCATCACTTTCAAAAGTGAAACCTTTCAGATATGAGGTATGTCCTTACAGGAAATGACCTGGTAACCATTGAATTGGACCTCATTTGACTATATCTAAAGAATATAATCAATTAATTATATTGCTGTGCGTCACAAAAAATGAAAGAACTTAAACTCTAATTAGCATAGCATGTTGAACCTCCCCAACTTGGAATCTGATTGGCCTTATCCTAAGCCTATTGTAGCAGCAACAGGGTTGCTTAGCAACTAGCACATTCTCAGAGTTTTAAATACTTCAATGATTTATACTTAATGAATTGTACATTTCTACCGTCATAGCTTTCTTTAAGAACACAGTTATGTTCAATGCATATCATAGGTTTTCACAATAACTTAAGCATATAAAACATTTGCTATATCTAAATACAACTGCATCTACTTCATATCTTGTATGTAATTCAACTGCATTAATCTGTTGAATTACCCCTTATGTGATGTTGAGGATATAAAGTTTACATTTACATAAAATATATAAATATATATATACAGAGAGTTATATATAAATATATACATACGTACTGTTATATTATAGCTGTTGTACAGTAATATAAATTTAACCCTGTAGCATGAACCTGCATGTCATTAATCTTGTATAATATTATATATTATCCCAAATATACATTTCTGATATTTAGAGATGTACATTGTTTATATTTTGTTGATGTCTTCAGAGATATTTATTTTACCAAGGCCAATAGCAAAGGAATTAATAAAATATTGGTGCTGCTGTTATTGACCACAGTGCTAAACAGTATTTATCATGGATTAACATCAAAATGGACATTGGATTTTAACCATAACCAGGACTGTTGTGGAAGGACTTCTGCTCAGAGGAAAAGATTCACACGGATATTGCCTCAGGGGATGGTCACTGGGAAGATGGATGGATTGAGCCCAACCACACAAAGAGAAGAAACACGAACAGACTTTGTACGGCTACTGCTGCCACAGGCAAATATCAGCCTCCAGCAGCCCAACACTGGGACACTGAACAACAGCAACAGAATTTGTAAATATTAACCTGCACGTGGGCTACTGAAATCTATCACCTGTGAGCTGAGGCTGAGTCAGATTGTGGAATTCAAAGTCATCATTGACATTGTGTTTAAAACCTAAATACCTAACTCTATTATCCATGAAATCCCTGCAATAAATCTACACTGTAGTGCTGTAGATGTATACAATTAAGGCACATCATTAGAAGCAAGAAAAGATCAAAACATGTGCTGAGATTAATAAATGTGACATCTGGTCATGAATACTTTATTTTCTTTAGTATCTGGGTGAATTCATTGCTCTTCTATGCTTTGTGATATATTTTTCTGTTCCAGTTACACATCCAAAAGGAAAAAAAGTGTGAGGATTAAGAGGTTTTCATTTTTCTTGACAGTCTAAGAAGACCTAGTTGTGACGCATCAAAATAAAACCCCCCATTGCACTTACAATATGAAAGGGCAGCCCTTTAGGATATGTGCTCATCAGGACAGGCAGGGAGTTTTCTTTGTTTCTTTTAAATAAGATCCATCTCATCACATTCGGGTATCCTTTGTGTGCAGGTCTCTTCTCTTTGTAGAAAATGGTACAGTATCTCTGATAATTTATTTGGTAAACTAGTAAAAACAAAAACTACCATGTTTTGGTTTGACCAATTTTCTATGTACACTGTACATATACTCTAGTTGGTAATTTGCATTATCTTACTACCGATGCCTTTCCTCCTATCGGATGGAAACAATTCCATCAGAGGTGTACAACCTGTGGGCCGCAAGCATCTCTCAGAGACACACAGTGTGATAACAAAAGTACAGTATATCAAATATTCAAACACAGACAGTTCCTTAAAAAGTCACAGCCACATACAAACACATAAAAATAAAGCAGAAGCCTTTCATGATTTTTTGATGAGGTGTTGTGTGTAGAGTCATTTCAAGAATGATTGGAAACTACAAACAAGACCTATTTCCTAGTTTAGCTTGCCCATTCCTCCATTGAACATAGAAACTGTAGCTCAATGACTGTCTTGCAAGGAAGGCTGAAAAAAGTGAGGACTGTTAGTTGCAGATATTCCTCCTACAAAAATCATCTTTGTATTTGGCAAGTTTATTAGAACACTTCCGGAGCATGATGCTGACCACATCACCTCCACCTCCAGTGTGGAATGGTTGAGAAAAATAGTGGCCCTTGCCCCTCATTCCCCATGGGCCTTTATGGACTGAAAAGGGGACTTAAGCTACCTAAGTACATATTAGAACACTTCAATGACTGCCTGTTTTTTACTTGTAAGCATATGAAATATGATTAATTTAAAAGTAAAAGAAAAACTACCGGTATTCATCTGTAAAATGCATTTGACTTTTAAGAAGGTTGTTGGTAACTTTTAAGAAGTGTCTTGGTAACCCTCAAACAATGAATGTAATAATACTGTGCTTTATTTTTATAGCACCTTTAAAAGAGTTCATCTCACAGCACTTAATACACTTATCAAGTGAAAATAATAATAATAATGTTAATACAATAATTATATGAATTAGTACATTAGTAAAATATATTAATTTCATTTTAAATATTAAATATGTAATTAAATTGCAAAGCCAGTAAAACAAAGCACACAAAAGAAAAAAGCAATCACAAATGTAAAGCTGTAAAGCACTTTGAGTGGAGTGTTCTGAAAAGCGCTTTATAAGTGTAAGCAATTATTATTATTAAACACCTTCTAAATAAGTCAATTTTCAGGTTAGATCTAAAAAACCTTATGTGGTGGAGTCCCTTTATGCTTTGTTATGCGAGTCAACAGATAACCTAATCATGAAAAAACATGTAGAGCCTTTACCATAAGCAAAAGGATTTTAAAATCAACCTGAATTCTTAGAGGAAGCCACTGAAATGATTCAAAGAATGTTGTGATGTGATTATTTGTGATCATCAATCCATAAATCCATCAATCCAAATCAAAATAATAATAAGGATCATTATTTTACTCTTTGTGGACAAAAAAAAAACATGATCGGAGATTTTCATATTATAAGAAGGTAATCAAATATCACTTCTTAGAAATGATGAAAACAACTTTAGCTATGTTTCAGTTTAAAGTAAAATGTGTTTGGAAAAATCTATTTAATTTCTACAGTATGACACTTGATGTTTTCTTGTGGGTAGAGTTCAATATCATAATAGGCGTTCTTTAAAAATTCACACTTCTGTATTCCTTTGTTACCAGTTAGTGCATGGAACTATCCAGTTTCAACACCTCACATTCTTCAGAAAACCAAGATCATTTAATGATTTGTTCTTCTAACATAAAATTACAGACATGAATAAGAGACAAAATGCAAGTGGTACCAGAATGCACTGCGATTTAAGTAATATTTTGATGTATTAAAATTATTTCAGAAATGGCTAACTCTGTCCTTATGAACACAGGGCCCACAGGATTCCCTTTCATGTGTATTCTTTTAAATTTGGTGATCACAGGTGAATTTGATCTGTAAGCAAGTGAATATTCAATTGTTGTTGTCACAGAAAGTTGTTTTTATAATTTACTACCAATTTCTACCACATTATTCATTTTATTATAAGCACAGTCAGCCTGCTTGTGTACTTTCTTCCCATTCCTTTAATCTGTGTGCTTATAAACCTCCTAGGAACCCTTAAAATGATATATTTGTATCTAAATGAAATGTGTATATTTTGCAAATATTCTCTAAAGTATCTATATTTCTGTTTGTGTTGTGGAGATACTGGTCTGATTATTTGTCTATTTCTGGATCATTGTAGTCAAATGCTGTGCTGCTTCTGTTTGTTCCACCTTGTTTCAAAAGCTGATTTTCAGGATTATTTGTGTTGCGTGGTGCCATGAATGTAGGGGCAATTCCCAATCGCAGTTGTGTAATGTAGACATGTTGTTATCAATCTAAGGTGCATGCACAACCCCTGATGATATGAAATCAAAATGTAAGGAAAAAAACCCCATCGGAAAAAATAAGAATAAAACAAATACAAACTGGGAAATAATATGGAACACATTAATCATATAACAATGTGGTTTTGTTTCTTTAATAGTATTTAAATCAGTCTAGTTTTAGTTGTACAAATTCAATTAACCTCTTAGGATTGTAGTACAAAGAATGTAGTATGCTGTATTCGCACAGGCACAAGTATGGATAACTACAGCAACTTTTCACGTCTAGCGTTAAGCAAGAAACATCCTTCAATCTATTTAACAGAAATTGCAGATTAAAAATTATAAAGAACGTAGACTTTAGCCAGACACTTTCTGTAAAACGCATTAAAAATAAAAATAGGTTTTGAAAAAAATAAATGTGTAATAATAGCCATAGTGCAACCTTGCTGTCCACCATTGATAAATACTGATGCATTACTGCATGAGATTTTTGATTCAAAACCACAAAGGAATTCTAGGGATAAAGGTAGTGTATTCACCAGATGGCTATTTTACAGAACTGAGGTAAGGGCACAGTTTATAATAACCAGTTATATTGCCTATAATCAGCAAAACTATGATAAGTCAGAAACAGTTTTAAGAATTGTATTAATCATTAATATATTCCAGGAAACTAATCACTTATTTATGCACACATCAGTCAAACATTTATGAACACATTAGTAGCAAATATTACTATTGCTGATTTACATCTCTCAGAAAGTCCACTAAGGAATTAGGCTATTACTGTCTTTGTGACTGTTCTCAATGTTCAGTCCTGCTTCTTCTGATTATGTGTTATTGTATTACCTTTTTCCTCCATTTTCTTCACCCATTTGTTCATTGTGTGGTTTAATACATTCTGAACATGGTTTCACGGAGGCATCTTATCTTTCCCATTTTAACTGACTATCTTTGCTACTATTGCTATGGAAACAGTTCCCAAGTCAAAAAGATGTAAACAGCTGGGGATGAAATATATTTTTACAGGGAAGAAGTCTCATGAGATTTGCACGTCTGTTTTTCATGGGAGTCTTGGAAAACACACACTCTAGTGGACGGGGAGGGGGGTGAAATTTTAAAAGTACATAACTCTTGATCCTTAATTTCTAGTGCTACACTGACTACTGAACATTTTTTCTATTTTTATGTAAGTAAATCAGTAATTTGCAAATTCCACATGACATACAGTAGTATGTCTGTAGTGTTCTTCTTGAATTTCACTAAAGTATCTCATAAAACATTTGTACTGTATATTTCCACTGTGAACAGTAATAACAAACAGAAAATACTATACATTACAGTATACCAGGATATCGAATTATATATCATAATAATAATCAGTGGAATATTATTTATACAATATGTAAATCCTATAACAAAAACAGTTGACATGTGATTACTGCTGTCTTCAATTAGTTTTCCAATTATTTTAATTAGGGATTTGAGCTAAAGAAAACAAACATTTTTTTACATACTAATTGCCTGGAGATTGTCTTTCTTTAATGTTTTTTTGGGAAAATAACATTTATCGATACAATCAACACTAGAAAATTAATTTCCCTGTGCATAATTAAAATTACAGGAAAATGTGAAGTTAGTACTGATATGTGGAAGCTACTAGAATTGAAAGAGCAGGTGTTGTCTTAATGTGCAATCAAATGTAGTGAAATACTGAATTTCATTCACAAATTCCTTTTCATTTCACCAGGTGCATTTCTGGTCAAAGTAGCAGAAAGTTCATTATGTAATTTTATATCATGTCCTTATTTGATACCTGCCAGTGTCTTTTACCAGGCATGTTCATCATTTTTGGCTGGGATTATGGAGCTGTTTTCTAGGTGTCATCAGGATCTGGACATCTTCCTTCACCAATGCCAACTAGAGCACGCTAACAGTGCCTGGAACATCAGCACATCCCAAAGCTTCCCGGAGCAGCTGTTATCACCTGCGTGACATTGACTGAAAAGCTTTGAGAGGACCTTGAACATCAGCTGAAATCTCATCTGTCAACACCACAGAGTGTTTGGTAACTACAGGAGTGAGAGTCAGTACCTCATGTACTGTCTTGATCCAATCTCTTATTCTATAAATGAGGCACTGTATAGCCTGAAGTGTGATTAGCAGGTATCAAACATGGCAGTGATTACTGAAAATTAGTTAATTCCCCAGAGATGACAGATCCCTTTAATTAGTATATGTTGGCCTGCTAATTTATCAAATGTGTGATTCCATATTAGATTTCTTTAAATTTTGTAAATTAAAACAAACAAAATGATTAAAAACAAAACACAGTCACAGTCTTTCCCGTTATTAGTGCCCGAAA